CATGCCCCTTCCCTTCTGATGAGCACAGTAATCTATTATTCTAATACATGGAAATACTTAGGTGTTCTACAAAAATGCAAGCTACTTCAAAGGACGCTATCAAATTCTAGCTTTTGAGAAGTGTATTGAAAGGGCAAAGACATTTCTGAGCTAAATGGTTTGGTAACTATCTACTCAGAGCCTATTGTGTGTCAGCAAAGTGTAGACGGCCAGTCAGGACAGAAAAGTATTACAAGACAACTGGGTGGATGTCAGACACAATGACCAGACACAAGCCTCTCAAACACGATTTCACGTAATATGTCCCCTCTTGATATGCCGCCATATTGTGTGTCTCTATTTACATACCGCTTTAGCCTTATTTCGTCATCTACACTTCAAACATTCATGAAATGCTGAACAGGCTCCAGAGACTGCCTCTTCCTGTTGCGCCTGTTACCAACATAAATAAATGACAGGGTCATTTGGCACAATGCTTGGTGAGCAGTTGGATGCTCAAAAATCAGACCAGACAGGTGACCCATCATTGCCCGTTAAAAGTACAATGGCATCGACAATATTTTACAGAAACATCCAGCTATGTGTGCTGTGAGGCTGGTGGTTCACACCGCAGGCAGCTCGGACACATGCAATGGCTAAATACAAAATGGAACATTCTTTCCCTGTCTTACTAAAATGGCCACTGAGCCTCAGGAACACAAAGTCACAGCTAACTCCAGCAGGAGTGAAAAGAGAACCTTGTTCCTCCCCATTGTGAAGCCCCGGGCTAAGATGAACATCCCTTAGGGCAGGCAGGCTCTGAATCCTAATCCTAGCAGACAGAAGCAAGACCTCAGCAGCAGCAGCTCAGGAAAGAGGCCACAGCAGACATTTCCACACCATAACTTCCTGGTTCATGGAGAGTAACTGGAAACACTGGAGATGAAGGAAAAAATGAGCTATCAGCATTTAAAGGCAGAAGGAGTTAGCCCACAGGCAGGGGGCTAGTGTCCCAGGACTGTGACAAGTTCCTCCAAGGGGAAGTGAAACCACCCACTTCCAAGAAAATCAAAGAGAATTGAAGTAGGGGACATGAATTCATATTCCACAGAACATAACCTCACTTCCATTTAAGAAGCAGAAATGCTTACTTAGTGTGTTGCTCTGAGCTCATGTCTATCTAACCCTTGGAATGAACTGGCAGATCCAAGGCCTGCAATCAGGTATTCTGCTTCTAAACTAATGTCAAAACATATGCTGTCTTTTACTTATTCTAGGAACAGACATATACAGGTAAGGTACATATATTTTTTTTAAGATAGGGTGTCTTTGTATAGCCTTGGCTGTCTTTGATCTTGATCTATACACCAGGCTGGCTTCAAACTCACAGACTCTGCTTCCAGGTGCTGGGATTAAAGGCATGCACCACCATCACCTGGCTATCAGTTACATCCTGAAAAACTCCATTAAGGGATCAGACATGCCCATAACACCCTGCTCTGGTTAGGTGCTATATATGTTCTCAGTTCTGGATCTCTTTATGTTCCGTTTTTTTACACTTCTTATCAAGGACAGGCTACAATACTATTCACCATCACAATATACTCTTTAGCACAGACATACTAGTCCAGATGTGAGTCTAAGTGTATCCAATGCCTGGCATGATACAGAAATAGTAAGCAGTAGCCAGTGAGCCTGCCTGATGTTGCATGCAAGCCTAAATAGCCTGATCATTCTTTCAAATGAGTGGTCTATTTTGCTGTTTTCCTAAGATGGGCATTTTGTTTACCAAAACTATAAAAAACAAGGATCTGGGCATAATACACAATCACCACAGAGAATAGCCCAATCGCCTTCATATGTAGTGAGCCTCAGTCTGAGCCACCGGTGAGGTCAGACTGACTCAAATCTCTACCCTGCTCACCCTCTTACAGCACACCTCACTAACGTGGATCTGGGGTAGAAGCAGCCACCAGGCTAGAGGCTGAGTGCTGTCTTATGACTCACATCATGACTGGGTCTTCCATTTGTTTTAAGCTACTCTTCAAAGTGTAGATTTTTAAAGCAATTCAAAGCAAGAAAAGAACTGGAGAGGAGAAGCTAGTGTTCTTATTTTACACACTAACAAAATCTCTTCAACATTATCGGATTCCAAACAAAACTTCTTAAAGTACCTTCCAAAACCCACCAAAAGCAACACATATTTGTTCACTTAGGCTACTTAATAAATTTAAACACAATGTAAATATTATGATGAAGTATACTTTAAAAATAAAATATTGCGGGCTAGAGAGATGGCTCAGAGGTTAAGAGCACTAACTGCTCTTCCAGAGGTCCTGAGTTCAATTTCCAGCAACCACTTGATAGTTCACAACCATCTATAATGAGACCTGGTGCAATCTTCTGACATGCAGGCAGAACAGTGTGTACATAATAAATAAAAAATAAAATATTGCAAGATGACAAAATAAAATTGTTTCCTAGAAATACTCAAAAGGAAATCCCTTTGCTATTAGCAAAACAAGCAAGCAACAAACAACCCTCTCACTCCCACCCCCACAAACCAGTATAAAAACATGGTCAGAGAATGCTCCTTTGTGCTTTACATTAAATATCAGGGCAAGCATGTAGCACAATTGCTAGATTGCTTGCCTAGCATCTTGGATACCCTATGTTGAACCCCACTGCTTCATAAACTGGGCATGGTAAGACATGTCTCCAGTCTCAGTACTCAGGAGATCAAGGCCAGAACATCAGGACCAAGGGCCCCTCAGATACACAGTGACTTTGAGGCCAGTTTAGGCTACATGAGATTCTGTTTGAAGAAAGAAAAAAAAGAAAAGAAAAGAAATGAGTACCAGAGAAAATCTGAATGACTGAACTGCAGGGAGAAAATTGTTTTTACTGTCAGTGTAGAAAGGAGACCAGGGAGGTCTTTTCCTTTCCAAGGGGCAGCAATTAATCATGTGGAGTACAAGAGCAATATTCTATTGTCCCCGTGGACCTAGTAATTCATGAGGTTTAAAGTTTCACTGGAAACCCCAACATCACTGCTCACAAGGTACTTTGAACCACATAACAAACCAAAGTAAATCTTGTCCACCAAACACAAGGTCCTCAAACATGCTTTTATATAGTAAGTGTTCCTAATACCACACTATGATTCTTTGTTGAAAAGCTATTTTGACCTTATTTTTAATCCCTTCATAACACCCATGTACTATTCAGTGATGCAAGAGTATCACCACAATAATGGACTTCATTGATAGGAAAGATCAAGCAAGATTGCCAAACTAGAAAATTATTCTAGGCAGAATAGTGGAACACAAGACCACAGCAAGAGTAATTGGTGCCTCCCTAGAGGTCAACAAGGACTAGACACATAACCAACCCAGGATGGTATGGATGAAACCAACTTCCATGTCTACACAACAATGTCTAGTCAAAGTATGTGTGATTTCCAGCTATAATTTTAGTGATCTATAAAGCTGGATGGAAGCATTCTCTCTTGTATTGTGACATGAATTATGTTTCCAAACTAAAACTCTGTTGTAATTCAGGGTCAATTCATCTAACCCAACAGCATACCAGGGAGGCCGTGACACTCTTGACCTTGTTTGGATGGCATGTTTATACATCGTAAATACCTCTCACATTCATTATCTCAATCTTAATTTAAAGCTCAGGGTTGAGAAAGAGGCTAAAATAATCAGTAAAAATAATCAGACACTTTCTATTGTAGAGAGAATGGGGGGGTGAGCAGGGGTGACTATATCTGAACTTTGACCCTTTGAGAACAGAACAATGGCCAGCATAGTAATTACCTCTAATGTTATTACTTAAAACAAGTGTTTAAAATTGTTACTTTATTAAAGATCATTATTCTATCTTAATATGCAGAGAGAAAAGGAAGTTATTATGACATATACTAATATTTTGTTACCAACACATGTTTGATGCCCCAACATTCTCTGTAAGATACTTCAAAAAGCTGATCCACTTAAAATACCCTACTAAAAAGAGGAACATACATATTTCTAGGTGACACTTCTAATTAATTTCTTCACAAAAATAAAAATTATATGCATTATATTCAGAGTTGCTATTGTTGTGATGAAATACCAGGACCAAAAGCAACTTGGGGAGGAAAGGGTTTATAGAGCTTACACTTCTAAATTGTAGTCTATCACTGAAGGAAGCCAGGACTGGAACTCAAACAGGGCAGGATACTGGAAGCAGGAGATAATTAATGCAGAGGCCATGGAGGGGTGCTGCTTACTGGCTTGCTCATCCTGCTTTCTTACAGAACCAAGGACCACCAGCCCAGGGATAGTACTATCCATGAAGAGCTGTGCCCTCATACACCAAACACTAAGAAAATGCCTTACAGTTGGATCTTATGGAGGCATTTTCTCAACCGAGGCTCCCTCCTTTCTGATAATTCTACCTCATGTCAAGCTGACATAAAACTAGCTTGCACAGCATGTATCTATCTTACATTCAAACATATAAGCTTGTATGTATGCAAATGTATGTATATATACATACATGACGCACAGGTATCTGTACATGAATATGAGTTTGCCTACGCATGTGCATAGTCTCAATTCGCTTATAAAGCAGTATATAGTAGGAGATAAAGATCTAAAGATGCTACGACAAGGATATATGACACAAAGACAAAACCAACGCAGGAATGGAACGGCTTCCACAAGAGTATTGTTTCAAGTGTAAGATTTTTCCCTGCAGTGGCAGAGTCTAAGGAGTTTTGTTTACCTAATGACTACCAACCGGGGCTGATCAAATACAGGAAAATGACCTGGAGACAAAATGCCTGATTGACAAGAAGTCTATCCCAAGCTGTTCTACAGCACACACATAATTTGATGATAACTGGCCCTGATAATGACTTTCAAGAACAAGGGTTAACTGAATCATGTAGAAAGAAAATGGATTTCAAAGTATCCTGTCGTCTTGAAAAACCAACAATAAGGTAAAATTCCACAATCAGAAAACCAGACTAATTAGTACCATGTATTTATTTCTTGGTGATACTGGATTACTTGGGATTATTCATGTTTCATGTGGGGTGGATTTAATATGAACAAAACAAAACTGAAACGAGTTAAGGTTCTAGTTCTGTAGAGAATGGAGTAGCCCTTTTCTTCTTGTTTCAGATCAGCGCTGGAAGGAGTCTGCATGGAGTTTTGATCAGCTTTCACCGGGCATGCTGACTGGTGAGGTACTTGTGGTCCTGTGCGGGAGGAGAGGACTGAAGTCAAGCAGGGTCAGTGTCCTCACCTACATGGTAACGGCTCCAATGAAGAGACGAAAGGAGGCAGCACGTGGCCTCTTGAGTGTTGCTTCCCGATCCCTGGTTCAGTTTGCTGAAGTCATCAGGGGAGCGCTGGCAGTTTACAGTGACCAGTTCCTTGTTTATCATCCTTTAATCTATTTAGTGACTGGTGACTTGCCTTACAACAGAAATTAACTGATGCTACAGAAATACACATAACAAGATAACAATAAGCAGACAAGAAAAACAGGATGAAGGAGAAAAATATGGATGGTGAGGGAGGTCAGAATTAAGTCTTCCTTCACCGAGGCCATTCCTAACACCGAGTAACCCATATCTGTAGTAGTCTAGCAAGGGGAGCTGACTGATTGTATTTGGCCATGAAGATATACTTCCATATAACTTGGGCTCTAAACTCACACCCAAATCTTCCTTAGTGACATATACAAAGTTATTCCATTCATTAATTAAAAACTACTTACTGATACTTGCTTATAATCCCCCCAGCGATTTTTAATATTACTTATTTATGTGTTCGGTGTTCATGGGTGTCCATGTGTTCATGCCTGCATGTGTGTGTAAACTGGAAGACAACCTTGAGTGTCATTCTCAGGAACAGTGTCCACCTCCTTTGAGATGGGGTCTATCACTGACTGGCCTGTGCTCACCAGTTAGGCTAGACTGGGCGGCCAGCAAGTCCTAAGGATCCACCCGTCTCCGCCTCCCCAGTACTGGGATTAGAAGGGTATAAGGCACCAGGCATTTTTGTGGGGTTCTGGAGACTGCATTCCAGCTTATAGGCAGATGCTTTCCTGAGCCATCCCCCAGTCTCTGCCCAACACAAATGTTAAAGAGGAGTATCTTGATAAGTGAGCGAGTGAGAAGTACCAGGAGATGGGGAGTGTGAAGCCCAAGCTTAGACGGAGGCAGTTTAGATTCTTCCCCGGGTGGCTAAGGCAGGCTGCTTAGCAGGTGACCCAAGCAGAGCCTTCCAGAGCAGATGGAGGGAGTCAGGGGCCAGGCAGAGAACACAAGCACAAGGACAGGAAGGCAAAAACAGATCTTGTGTGTGGATAAGAACTAAGGAGTTCTGCGTTGATGGCATGAAGAGGGTGGAACAGAGGTCAGAAACGTCATGGGGAAGGGCAAAGGGCATGCAGGGCCTATAGCCACAGTAATCTTTGTGGAAGTCTCGGTGGAGACGAGCAAAAGGTGTGAGACAGCCATGAGGGATGACACCAAGACTCTGCTTTGCCGTGCACAGTAGTCAGACCCAACGCCTATCCATACAGTTTGTGCAGGTAAGGACAGCAGTGGAACACAGAGATTTCAGGCACATGCGCAGAGATGTTTATCTCTATGGCTCAGCGTGGTAAAGAACATGCAAAGACATGCTCAGACTGGGACAAGTCTACAACTGTGGCACTGTGGCCCCAGCACGCCTGCGATTGCACTGCTGGGATGTTTATAAGCGATCAGCTACACCTGTGCAGAGGGGAAGGCCACTAATGTGCTGCAGTCTGAGATGCCTGGAGACCTGTTACCCTTTTCTTCAACATGGCATTAAAACTCTGCTCTCAAGCAGCAGCCCTGAGCCAAATAGTAGCAGAGGTCAGAAAACCTGCTATGCAGACCAGTTGGTCTTGAATGCAGAGAGATACAACTGCCTCTGCCTTCTGAGTGCTGGGATTGAAGGAGTGTGCCACCGTGTCCTGTATCATTGTGATTTTTTTAAAGGTAACTAAAATACAAGTGAAATAACCCTCTGGGGCTACATGTCCTAACTGGGTTGTTTCCTGCCTTCAAAACTAAGAAGAAAGGCAATGAAGTGAGAGTCCCAAGTGAGAATGAGCAAAATCACACACATCATACACACACACACACACACACACACACACACACACACACTTTTCTTCCTTTAACTAATGATGTCAATCAAGCTATGAGCTGTGGTGAGTCAGTTTTGAGTATTTGCTGATTTTAATGATTACTGTCAATTCAGGGAACTGTTGTGCATTTCCTCTTTTCTTTGAAGGACCCTTAAGGGATCAGATTACCTTTCCAGAGGCATGGCTGGCCATCAGATATTTGAAATAGTACCAGTATTCCCAAGAAGCCACTCACATAAGAGTAATGACTGCTATACAAACCGACAAAAGATGATGACCAAGCAATGTTCCTTGTCCTACAGCTTTAGAACAAGTAGTCAGAGGGCATGGGAAATATTTATGTATACCTCTTCCCCTCAAAAGGTCAAGGCTTCTGGAAAAATATATGTGCAGTAAAGCAAGACAGAAATAGATATGAAGCTAAAGGTGAACAGAAGTAAAGCCAGGACAACATTGCTCCCTAGTTACAAGATCCAGATTCCCTGGAACTGCCAACACTGGCTTCATCTCAACTTAGAACGTTTTAGGAGTCAAAATAAGAAGGAAAGATAATTGTGAAATTGAACGTTCATTGGAATGAAGCCCTGAGCCAAAGGGTTTTTTTTTATTATCTCAGCTCTGTAAGACAGAAGGTACTTCCTCAGGATAGGCAGGTGGTGGGTGTGCACAGCGCCAGTTAAATGACTAGAACCTGAGCCACGTGCAGGTAGTTTTAGGGTTAATGTATAAAGTTGTTATGACTTTGAATCCCCCAGTGAAATCTACCCTCCCTGGAGTGATTATCAAAACAGGCTCTGAACAGGTACTGTATCATCGATTTTCTGTGTTACTATTACCTCTTAACCCTTAAATGCAACAGATAGGAAATGTAGACAAATGAATGACACACTCCAGCACACCGATGACTGTGTCTCTATTAAAGTTGCTTCATGTGCGGATACTGGATGAACATGTTTCTTGTCATCTCTTTGGTACATCTGAACTTACACATGAGTCACTAAGAAAGTTTACTTTGCCTTACTATTTTTTTTTTTTGTCAATTTGGTGAGTTCAAGCCTGTGCATGTCCATTCATATAAAACTGTACCAACGACCTACATACACATCACTCTCAAACAAATACCAGGCCAGAAGCAGGTACAACTGGTTGGCACAAATCCTCCCAGCATCCAGGGGCCAGCTGTATAACAGAGAACAGCCTGCCAGTTGAATCATAATGAAGTGACATCATCGGCTGGCATGGGTTCTAAGTTTTAGGTACTCTGTCTCATGTTTATGCCTACTATGGAGCATGTGGATAGCTGTGTTACTAGGAATTTGTAGAAACAAAAAGTTCTCATTGTGTCTACCTTCTGGACCAGATTAAGTCAAAGTCTCCTAAAAAAATGAGATTAATAACTGTCAACTGTCCTATTTTAAAATTTCTCAGGCAAGTGATTGATAAATCCTCAAAAGCTGTACAACCAAAAATCAGAAAAGTAAGTTAAGACATTGTACATTCGATATGCCATTGCTCTTGTATGACAGCTGTCGCCCAGGAGCCCTGAGCTCAGATCTGTGAGTTGTCCTCACTGCTAAGTTTATAAATATCGCACATTTCCACTTACAAAATATGACAAAACCACTACTTTTAAACATTTTATGTGAACTTTTGCTTAATATTTCACTTTACTGGGGGGCTTTTCTACTGAAAAATGAAAACAACAATAACAACAACAAAACAAAAAGCCTAGTTGAGACAGTGCTGTTGTGGGCATAAGAGGCCAGGAGGCTGGGTGCGTCTGCCCCAGATGACAAGCTCTGGCAGTGGAGAGGTCACAGTTGTGTTCCTTAGGAAGGAATGGAGGTGCAGCTATTTCATACTTACGAGCAAGGGCTCAGATGAGTCTCTGGTTACTCAGGGAATGTAAAGAATCAAAACAAGATCAAGTGTTTCAGAAGACAGAATTTGTTCCGACCTGGCACCTCCTCACCCAGCTTTCAAGCCCTTTAACTCCTTTAGTCCTTGCAAGAACTGTGTGCTGCAGACACTATTATCATCCTGGCTTTACAGGGGAGGAGCCCTGGGCACACAGAGTTGAGCAATTGGCTCAAGCAAGGGGCGTGGTCAGGTGGCAAGCTGCTCTGTGTGTGGCACTGCCTCTCTCTATCCTGACTCAGAAGCTAAAGGAGAGTCTGGGCATGCAGTTTCCTTCTAGGCACTCCTTTTTCTTCTTTCTTTAAAGGGCTGAAGGGGGTGGGACAAATACAGAAGCCATCAAGAGGGTGTTGCATAACCTAATCAAGGGGTAGATGGAGTAAGCACTCTTCCTTAACAGCACGATGACTAGGAGATACAAAGTTCTTGGTTCTAACTAGAAGGGGCAAGAGATCAATAAAGTTTTAAATCAAATGCTCAAACTCTTTGGCCTCAAAAACATAAGCCAAAATTAATTAGTATGTCTTTTAACAGTTAATTGTGTTGTATCAAATGTCAATTAAAGCTAATGACTAAAAGGATGGTATGGGGAAAGTCTTAAACAAAACATAGTACTCCCTTGTAGTGAGGACTCACTGATCCCAGAGCACCCTCTCTGATACCATGGTCTGCAGGGGCTTAAGACTCTAATGTGCAATATCCATATGACTTCTATACTCCTGATGACTGACCATCCCTAATGCAACGTAAATGCTAGTTATATGCTGCTGTAACACATTTCTCAGACAAGAAAAAGTGTACACCTTCAGCACAGATGTAACCTTGCCTTCAAATATTTTCAACCTGCTCCTAGCTGAATCCGTGCAGTGCTGATGACACACGTGTGGAGGGCCGGCTACATTATCTGGTGAGCTACATCCATGGAGCGAAAGCTACGCATGAAGGGGCAGTGATGACTTCATCATTTGTGATGTGAGTCTGGAGGTGATCATGAAACATGATGGAAGACCCCTTTCTATGAGAAATTTGACCAGGCTTCATTTACTTGCTGTTTTCATCTTTAAAGAAACAGCCATTGTGCCCTAACAAAGTATTTCTGGAATTCTACAAATCTAAAAGTGTATGAACACTGATGTTTTGGAAAGGGGTTCTCTGATGCAGAGGGATAAAGATGGGAAAATGCTACAACATAAACATAAAACAAGAAAGATGCTGGTTTGGACCCCATAAGCAGTTTAGGCCAACCTAAGCCTGGCACGGCCCAGGTGAGTGAGAGAACAGACAATTAAAGGAAGGAAATCGGCATCTCCTCGAAGAGCCACACACGTGGTCAGGGCGGTTTGTGCTGTGAATACTTCCTTGCTAGTTCTAGATATGCCATCACTATTCTAGGTATCCCACCAATGTTCTAGGTACCCAATTAATGTTCTAGGTACCTCATTTATGGAGTTATAGCCACACTTCTTACTCTGAGTAGGTTCTCTCAAAAATTTCCTCTCAAAAGTGTCCAGTTTGAAGCCAATGATCACACTCAAGGAAGCCACCAGGCTTCTGGTACTCAAAAGACAAAGTCCAACAACTTGATCCCTTGAAACTCTACTATAGTATTTTGGTTTGGAGTTATTCTTGGTTAGTTTTGAGTGAAGTTTTGCTATGTAGGACAGGACAGGCCCAGCAGTATCTTTGCTATGTAACCTAGGCTGGCTTCAAATTTGTACCAGTTCTCCGGTGTCAAGTCTCCCAAACCCTGGTATTATGGGTATGCCCTACCAGGCCTGGCGCCACTATAAAATTTTAAGAATAATTTCTGGAGAAACATAAATCTTATTGTTACTGGTTTCAGCTAAAGTTCTAACATACCAAGAGGTCAGTGAGCAGTTCATGAACAGGCTCCTTACCCCAGATGACAATCATGATTAATTACACGGCTATTTTCTGCCTTGAAGATTCACCCATGGCTTACCTCTTTCCATTTAGTTGCTGCATTTTAATGATACAAAATCATAAAGCAAACAGGCACTCAAAACCTTCGCCCAAGAGTAGGCAAGTATTTCCAACAACAATGAAAATAGTGCTTTCCCTCGACCCCTGTATCTGTAATGATACCAAGCTGTTTTCTAGCCTGGAATCTTATAGTCATCTTTCAGTCATCTTCCTCCTTAGACACACCCTCTATTCCACATTAGGTCAAGGGAAGCCCTGAGGTCGTCTGTATCACCTCCCTTCTCTCTATCACAGTGTTCAAGACCGCCCATCACATGTCCCCAACTCCTCAACAAGCATGACACACAATAGGTAAATGAGGAGGTACACTCTTCAGTCCTGGGCCTGGGCAGCTCACTGCATTAAGATCATGCAAAGGCTAGCTTTTCTTGGTCACCCCATTACATGAGATCCCGACAGCAGCTAGAATGCTACATTCTGCTGGACATTATTCAGTAAGACCCTCCTGAAAGGCAGGCAAATGTGTCTTAGTGATTGTCCAGCAAAATCACTAGTATGATGCGTGTACATATTTGCTAAGTCAGATAAAAAGGAGATGTATCCCTTACTTCTGCTTAAGAGTGACTTGATCTGCTCTAATCAAACATATTATTCATTCACAAGAAAATTATAATGTTCCTACAAAGTCCATTATTTCCTAACACAGTGTCACGATTTGTCAGACAATAATCCCTAAAAGAATGTTTCTTTTTATCTGACTCTCCCAGGCATCAAGCAAGTAGATGGACCTTCTCTGTGCTGTGTAATGTCAGGGTGTTGCACATTAGCTAACCATGAGCTGTGTCTCAGTGACCAGCTATGCACAAGAGGGTCGCTCTGGTAGATATCAGGAGGAAAGACAGATTCTGCCTCTTTTCTCAGGCCTCTGCTCTTAGCTTTGATTCTGCTGACTGTTTAAGTGGCCTTCAGGAGGCCTGGTTTTTCTAAACATCATGCTAAATCTATCACGGCTCTTTCAGGGGGCTTCAACAACGAGTCCCTGTAGGTGGTGGCAAACGGAAAAACATAGGCACCAAGGATGAGAGCAAGCAGACAGAATGGGAATGTATTCAGAGCAAAGCCCTCGAGTATGGGGTTTGGAGCCAGAGTAGTCAGAGTCCAAGTTTTGGTTCAACCATGTTAGCTGTATGATCCTGGTCCATAAGAAAAATGTTTCCTTCAACTTCCCAAAACTTAGGCAGTATTACCAAATGCAGAATGTCTCTGAAGATTAAATAAATTATTTTGCATACAACCATTGATCAGCAAGACCTTGGCAGCTAGGATCATTTAAGCATTTATCTATAACACATGGATTTTCCCACACACTTTAAGTTTATTTTTGACTGACCCATAATAAATAAGCATTATTTGCCAAGTGCCAAGTGATGTTTCCTTGTCTTTACATGATGACCGACTGAGTGTAATTAGCATATCCAGCACCTTAAGCATTCAACATGCCTTTGTGATCAGAATGGCCAAATGAACGCTTGAGAATATAATATTTTAAAAAACACCACACTGTCAACACTAGTCACCCTTGTGTGTGCTCTAGCAGACCTTACTCCAGCTCTGTCCCCACAGAGTCACCCACCCCTCATTTTTCTCTCTCCATCATAAGCTTATATGAATTGAAGATGGGGAAAGGGTTTTTCTCACTCACTAGGTAGCTAGCAAACACTGCAGAGTATCCAGCAGCTATAAGCCTCCTTTCTTTCTTCCTCTGCATTTTAAACTCCCAGCATTCTCCTACCTCTGGAACTCTTCTTGGAGACTGAGGGGCGTCAGAAGTTACCCTTCCTGACATGTTCTGTGTTCATTTGAGGCCCAAATGCTGTCTTCATTCCTGAAGCTACTCCATGCCCTCATATCATGTGAACCTGAGTTTCTCTCTGATTCTCTCATGTGGTGCCACAGGACAAAATGTTGACTTAGTTCTTTCTCAAATGATAACTGGCTGTTTCTGCCTACTTCTGATGGCCTGTCTTGCTTTTCTAACTCACTTTCAAAGAACTGCACTTTATTTAGATAACCAGGAAAACTTGTAGGAACCAAAAGCAAAGAGAGAGGCAATCAAAGTGCATTGGGTATCAGGACCAGTGAAATTTGTTATATTTCAGATGACCCTTTTGATTAGTAACAGACTGGCAAATCAGAAGACAGATTTAGTTCCATGCTTAGATAAAACATGGTGTTTTACTACACTGAAAACAAATTAGAGTGCTACTGAATGAAGGAAAGAGACGGGCAGGTTTAGGAAGAAGAAAAGCAAAGTGGGAGGGTTAGGAACACTCTTAGAAATCCACAGAATGCCCATCAGCTCAAATGGCTCCTTGAGATGCTGCACTCCCTGGACCATGCAACAGAACCTGGAGCTGCAACA